TTATGGTGAAAAAAAAAAGTTCTGACATGCAGGACTTCTCCAATGATTTAGTCCATTTAAACCTGCAAGTTAATGTTCATCTGCAGATTTCAAAATCCCAACAACTGATGGATGGACAGAACCTAGCTTCCTTACTTCTCTACCCTTCACTTTAAAAGTTAAAGGATTAGTTCACTTTCAGAAAACTTTTGCTGATAATTTACTCACCCCCATGTCATCCAAAATGTCCATGTCTTTCTTTCTTTAGTCGAAAAGAAATTAAGGTTTTTAATGAAAACGTTCCAGGATTTTTCTCCATATAATGGACTTCAATGGCAACCAAACGGTTCAAGTTCCAAAAGAAACTTTCATTACAAACTGCAAACTTGTTCAAAGGGCTTTAAACGATTCCAGACGATAAATCGTTTTTTAAAGACGGCGTTACAGAACAGAGCAAGGTGAGCGTTTGAGCTTATAAAACTTAAACTTTGTTATTTATTTATAAAACGAGCGATCGTTTCGCTTGATAAGACCCTTATTCATCGTCTGGAATCGTTTAAAGCCCTTTGAACAAGTTTGCAGTTTGTACTTAAAGTTTCTTTTGGAACTTGAACCGTCTGGTTCCCACTGAAGTCCAAAAAATCCTGGAATGTTTTCATCAAAAAACTTAATTTTCTTTTTGACTGAAGAAAGAAAGACATGGACATCTTGGATGACATGGGGGTGAGTAAATTATCAGCAAAAGTTTTTTTAAAAGTGAACTAATCCTTTAAAAATGTGCTTGAAGTTTGATTATGACTCAGGAAAATTATTAGTCCTTGAATACAAGGCTTTCCTCCATTTTTTTTTTCCCCCAGTTATTTTTTTTTTTTGTATTTATGTTGTAAGACAGTGATATTAAAAGAACAAATTCAGTATACACCTTATTGATGATGCATCATCAAGCAGGTGAGCCCATAATATAAACGCAGAATGTAAATGTACAGACATAAATGTACACAAGTGTACAGACCATTTAATAAGAAGATGTTTTATAAAGACAGTCCACTTTGTGTATACAGGCAGGAGAAAACAGTCTTGTTCATGGTAGTTTTCCAAAGATGGCTCCTGCTGTGTATACACGACATGGACTCTATAAAGTATCTTCTTATTAAATGGTCTGTACACTTACAAAGTTCTCAATACTTTGTTTTGCATGTAGGGACCCTCATTATGTTACTGTGTTAGTGTGGGGCTATTTTGAGCCTTGTTAGTGGTATTAACTAGCGATTTCTTTTTACTTAAATGCCCCCATTACTGGCATTATACGCTAAACAGTTTTTAGAGATAAAACTCTTTACATTCGATTATCATGAAAACAAAACTCAGAGAACGGTCGACTAGGTACCAATGTTTTATTAGACCAAAGTTTCATTTTGCGCCGGAGTTCTCCTTTTAACCATTTAACATGTTGTTCATATTCTGGGCTCATCTGTATGTGGTGTATCATCAATAAGGTGTATACTCAATTTGATCTTTTAATAAGACTGTTATTATGTTCTTGTTTTGTTTTTCATGTTAAAGGGGTGGTTCACCCTAAAATGTACGTTATCATCATTTACCTCATGTGGTTTCAAATTCAAACCATGAAGAATGCTTTCGTTCATCTTCGAAACACAAATGAAGATATTTCTAATGAAATGTGAGAGATTTCGGCCCCTCCATTGACAGTATAAGCAACTAACACTTTGTCGCTTCAAAAAGTTCATAAAGAGACTAAATGCTCAATTCATATGGATTAGTTTTACAATCTTTCAATAAACTTTGTGAAGCATCAAAGGGGTAGTTGTGCAGACTGTCAATGTAAGGACCGAAATCTCTCAGATTTCATTGAAAATATTTGAATTTGTATTCCAGAGATGAACGAAAGACTTACGAGTTTGGAACAACATGAGGGTGAGTAGTTAATGTATATTTTTGCTCTTGGGTGAACTATGACTGTAAGCGTTTTAGAATGTTCTGGAGTTTTTAGTGATTGAAATACTTCAGCAGGTGCTGTTTATGGATCACAAATGTGCAAAACCTTTTGGTTTTGAGAGGTGATTAAATATTTGTTGCTTGCAACAGATTGGTAAAATTGGCAATTTTGTGGATCTCTTGCCTCTGTGCAAGTCACGTGACTGAAAACTATGAATTGGTGATTTTACTTATTTTCTTACCACCTTTTTTTAGACTGAAGTTCCTGACTAGGAAATGGCAAAGAGCTACAAAGAAAATCTCAGGCAGTGCCACCGTTAACGGGCATGGAACAGGACCAAGCACAGGTCAGCTGTAACATGATTCACTTGTTCAGCTGGAGTATTTAAGAGGCTTGATTTGGATCATTAGTCATTCATGTACCGCCTTTCCTTCTCTCTTAGTTCCTGCTCTGAGGACTGAAGTGCTGAGGCCGCAGCAGACTGGAGTTGCGTTCAACTCTCCACCCACCCGTGATCATTTCTTCACTCAAAGGGGTGTGGTCTCGTCTCTTGTGCCACCTATCAAATCACCCTTCAGGCTGAATAATAGGTGACGTTTCTTACTACACAATAGTGTCGATCTAGTCTGATGTCGTCATATTCAGATTTTAGTCCGAATGCAAGTCTGATACTGCTCCATTGGGCTATGTTTATGAGGCGTGTTTCAACCGAACCAGAAAAAAAATGTGAAAAAATGCCTCTGCATTCAATTGGATCGTAAAATGCCTTGATTGCGGTTTTCTGTTCCTGTTTTATAATGAATGCGCTGTCTACATCTTCTATAACAGACGCGATGGCTGAATCTACACGTCTAAATTCTCCAGCGGCAGCCATTCTTTGTTGTAATCTAATTCAACCCATGCGCTCTTTGGTGACGTGGATGATTACGATACTGTTGATCATCTGTCCATCATCGTATAAAGTCCGCCCTGACAATTTGATTGGTCCGAACACAGCTTTGGTTCGGCATACTTGCTTCACAACGGATCAAGTCCAGACCGAACTTTCCGAACTTTTGCTAAGTTCGGCTGGCATCCAGGCTGGTGTTGATCAACACTGAAAGAAAAATCGTGTAAACAATTTTCACTCAGATATTGCTTGTAAATTTGAACAAATATTTACAAAGAAACGGCACATAACATTGAACTGAATTGAACGAAACAGAATTTTCTTGTAAAACATACTCTTGTCTGTTTAATTTGTAGATTGTTTTTCTTTCTAATAAGCAAATATATTTAGTAACTTAACTTCTCTCCTATTCTCTTTCACCAAGAATGTACACAAGTTCTGTGCCAGGACCAGCTGAACACTCCTTCAGCTCTTCCCAAGATCAGGAACGTTCCCTCACGGAGTATATTCAACATCTGGAGACTGTCCAGCACCGTCTGGGAGCCGCTCACCCAGGTAGGATGAAGCCAGTGGAAATTTACCTAAATTTAATGCTGTAAAAAAACAAAAGCTGGCTGCAAGCTTTTAACCCTAATTCCGTATTCTGGGCAAATGTGGCCAAAATAGTTTTGATTTATTTTTAAAAAATACTTCCCTTGATCTGAGTGGTACAAGACTTGGCTACTTTTCCTAAGTTTGCCTCCTGAACACACACTTGTTTTTGGGCTCAATTCTACAATGTTAAGTGGGTGAAAAAAAACTCCTTAATCTTGTATTTGGGTCAAAAATGGGCACCCATAGAAATGAATGGGAAAAATTCTAAGACCATTCTAAAATAAGCCACCAGGTGACAGCAAAGTCATTTCATCTTTAGGTTTTAGCTCTAAGAACTGAATGGAGGGTGATATTTTAATGTAGTAAAAAAAAATGATAATAATAAAACTACATGGTAATTAATTTACATTGAAAATATGGTACTTTTTGAAGTAAATAAATTCAAAAATACCCCCAAAATAAAAATAAACACCATAAATGGATAGACAAAACTTTATCGAAGACAGTGATATAATATTTATAATAATTAAAAATTAGGATCACACCTGAGTCCTCTGTTCCCACATTTTTGTCCACAATTACAGGATTACAGGCTATAAAGTGAATACGGTTTGAGGGTTAAACAGTATATACATTTTGAATTATGTATTTATTGGCTGTGTGAAACCGGAATATTTCAGAAGATATAAAATATTGCACTGACCCCCTCATTATTGAATTGTGGTCTTGCATTCACATTGTAGTGGAATTGACGTACAAACAAACTTGAAGCTTATTTTTGAAACTGATTACACAAGATGGTTAGTATTTTTGTTTGACTGTAATCCCTTTAAACACTGAAGGTAAAGGGATCAAAAACTTTAATGAAATAATGGCCATTTGTGACTTCTGACCTTACCATCTTACAGTCCCAGAGCAGACAGGAGGCATAGCCTCCCTGATACCATGAGCTTTCGGCAGAAGTGGTTTCTAGAAA